TGTTGCTTTTTTTTTTTTTTAAGACACTCTGCGTCAGTACGGCTCGATTTCTACCTGCTGGGCATTGGGGCTCCACTGTGAGTTTCAGGGGCTCACAGTTCACACCCTGAAAGCAAGCTGAGAGCAGCTGTCATCAAGGTTTGGGGGTCTTTGCAACAGAGCAGCCTCGCGTTGGGGCGCCTGGAGGGCTCAGTCGGTTGAGCGTCTGACTTCAGCTCAGGTCGTGATGTCACGGTTCGTGGGTTCAGGGCCTGCGTCCCCACTCGGGCTGTCTCAAAAATAGAGGTCCAAAAAAAGGACAGCCTCGCGCTGTCTGCCGTGACCACTTCCAAAGTTCGTCCGGCCCCTGCTGTAGAGGGAAGTCATTCAGGCACTAAGCCTGGGTCTCTGGGACTGTACCGTGGCCTGCGCGTGGCTTCAGCACCCCCACCCCCTCCCCGTCCAGGCTCTGTGGCCGAGCCCGTCCTGATTATCTGGTCTCCGTGACCTGTAGCTGAAAACCCCTCGAGGGGGCAGGGTAGGCCTAACGTCGGCCGGTGACCCCGCAGGCATGCTCCCGGACCCCAAGAACACGCACATCGTGGTGAGCTGGATGATCGCGCAGACAGTGACGGCCGTGGCGGGCGTGGTCTCCTACCCCTTCGACACCGTGCGGAGGCGCATGATGATGCAGTCGGGGCGCAAAGGAGGTATGGTGTCTCCATTCTGGTGGCCGGACGACAAAGTCCGGGAAACCCTTCCTGGCGGGAAGGGTGTCCTGCTCGCAGCCTTTAAGGGGCTCGGGTTCCTCACATGAGCCGCTTCCCACACCGCTTGGGGCAGCGTCTGGTTCCAAAGAGTGCCAGCTTCGCGGGCACGGGAGGCTGTGCTGAAGGGTGCTAGTCTTGTCCCGCCAGCCCTTGACCCCCGGGTACCTGCTCGGCCCCTGGTCTCCCGAGTGGCCAGGGGCCTCGCATGGTTCCCGAGGTGGGGGTGGGGCCTGAGTTCCGCATTCCTCCTCCACCACGACAGTGGGCCGGCAGGGCTGTGAGCTGGGGCCACGCGCGTGCACTGCCTCCGTTTTCTCCGTGACGAGGAACCACGTCCCCCGGGTCGCGGCAGCTGGTTTCGCTGCCTGCCACGTGTCGTTGGTGGTTCCTGTAACGTCCTCTCCACAGTAACCTCCCAGTAAGTGTCGTCTCTCTCTTACAGCCGACATCATGTACAAGGGGACCCTCGACTGCTGGCGGAAGATCTTCAAAGACGAAGGGGGCAAAGCCTTCTTCAAGGGTGCGTGGTCCAACGTCCTGCGGGGCATGGGGGGCGCCTTTGTGCTCGTGCTGTACGACGAGCTGAAGAAAGTCCTCTAGGCTCCCCTCCCCCGGACGCAGGCACCGAGGGAATTCTGTAGAATACTTGTAACTGTTACGGACCAGTGATCTTCGAGAAATTCCAGGGTCCCCGCCCCGGCCAGATCACGTCTAGAGGCCTGGGGCAGGTTCTAAAAGGGGCTCATTGTGATCGACCATTGGCACCAGATTCCATGTATTGATTGGGGGGGAGGGGAAGGAGGACGTCTGTCTTCACGAGTCCGCAGACAGACAGGCAGGCAGCTCGGCCACAGACCTTAGAGTCCAGGTGCTTGTGGGACCTTAGTTGTGTTTAAGTATTTATTTAAAAAAGAATCATGTCTCCATTTGTACTTAAGCACTATTCTCTTTTGCACAGCCGAATATTTGCAATTATGTTTCATGTCGGGCATTCTGCAAAACCATAAAAGACGGGACAGAGAGAGAGACTGGTGGTTTGTTTTCAGCCGAGTGTACCGGGGGGCGGGGGGTTCCTCAGGCAATCCAGGCAGGGGGAGGGGTTGAAAACAAAGTACGCCCCCCTCCTCGCTCCCCCTCAAGTGCTGTGCTGTAGCAACTTGTGCTAAGAAAACCCCAGCCCAGAAAGGGCCTCCAGGAACCGCGTCCCATGGCCCACGTTAGCCCTGGCTAACGTGTGATGGGGATCCACGTGTCTGGGCACCAGACCTCGGGGGCAGGTCCTGTGCACCCGTTGCCCGAATGCACCGGTCAGTGTGGGAGAGCGACGCCCTGCAGGCTGAATGTTCGGTCCTGGCGTTGCGTCCGCCTGTCACGAGGGCCCCCCGGGGTACGCAGGCCGACCCGATGTGAAGCACCGCTCCTGGGCTGTGGGGTCCTGGCCGTGGGAGGCGGGGCTCCTCAATTTGAAGACGTTGGTAAATGCAAACCTTTCTTTCTGCCGCAATTACGGGTCCCGTCCCGTTAGACACGAGGGAATTTGGGTCACGAGGCAAGCTAAAAAGAGGCCGGGATCTGCGCGGCCTCCTTGGGGACCTCGCACTCCTGACCTACTTGACCGGTGGTGCTCTGGCCGGGAGGACTCGGGTCTTGGGTGCGGGCTCCCGTCTGGATCCGTGGTCGAGAACTGCGTCTTCGCTCAGGCTGAGATCAACCCTCCCTCTTGGCCGCGAGGCCTTTTTAGGTTTAATTGACAGGTTGCCAAATAGCCGCCTGTGCCGGTGGCCTCAGGGCAAGCCTGCTTTGGCTGTGGGGTGGCTGGGGGGGGGGGGG